AAATTAAATAAATACATATGTATAATAAACGAATCAACAAAAAATATATAATTTAAAGTTGAACTCAAAACAAACAAAAATACATTATTGTGGCCGATAAGACGCCCATTTGTGAGGCTTTTATTACAATAAATTTTAGTACAGAAAATAACTAAAAGAAACAAGAATTTATTCGCTTCTTTGCAAATTATATTTACTTACAGATAAGAAAAAGCTGCTAAGAAACCCTTACGAATTCTTAAAGCCGAAAAAATAAATTATATACAATGCAAGTTATTTATGGCAATACTTGCATTCATGTAAAAATTAAAAAAAATATTCAAAATACGTTCAGCTGGCAACCAGAAAAAATTGTAATAAAACGCTAGTGAAACCAGCTGTTAATTTTAATAAATGCAAATATTAATAAAAACACCTTTCATACTCAAGCTACTACATATATACATTCATACCTATAGGTATACCATATAAATATATGTATACGGTATGTATGTAAGTGCCTTTCATGCACTCACACATTCCTGTATCGCAGTGCAAATGCACATGATAATGAGGTCGTGAACTGGCATATTCAATACAATAGACGTCGTATTTAATGGAATATCAATRCACCAAATAAATAAATAAAATCTACTATACATATAAAATAAACCGAATTAAAAGAATAAAATGTGTCCCGAAAATGTAATGACCAAAATTACAAAAAAAAGTCTCAATAAATAAATAATAAATTTGCACCAGTGACAGGACAACACTACATACATATTTACACACATTCACACGGGCGAGACCCAATTAATGCAAATCAAGTTACCTGTTGTACGCTAAAGTTACCAGGCTGCTGCGGTTGCTGGTGTGTACCACCGTTGGCATGCATTTGTGAGCGCATAGAGTTATGCTGTTGCGACTGATGTATGTTATTGTTAACGTTTATCGGTTTGCTCATATAAGCGCTAGTGGTGGAAGCCAAATTGGATGGAAGGGGTGGTGCCGGATTCGTGTAAGCATTTGTTGCAGCAACGGTGTTTGGTTGTGCATGCGATTGTGTTGCTAAATGCTGTTGCTGTTGTTGTAAATTTAGCGGCGGCTGCTGCTGCTGAGCCACTGGTGGAATTAGATGTTTCTGTTGTTGTGGATAGGAGTGTTGCGACTGCTGCTGTGGCAGCGTAGGGGGTGGTGCATTACTTTGCACCCAAGACATTTTTACAATTTACACACCGAAATTGAAGCTAGATGCCAAATATTAGAATGAAAATAAGCCCATGAAATAATGTTGCTGTGAAATGTACAAATATATGATTGCTTGTGGTATGCAAGAAAACTTAAGGTGATTTACTGTGTTAAAGTGAATACAATAAAATGTTTTCGTTGTTAAACATATGACGTGAAAATCAGTTGTTATCAATAATGCAAATACTAAATATTAAATAAATTGAATCGAAAGGAAACGAAAATATCCCACAAATCTCAATTGTTACTTATATGCATTCAAAATCACATTAAATATATATATTTATTCTTGACTATATATTAAGATATTTCTCATTTAATGCAGTTTATGCCGATTTGAAAGTACTTGTTCCACTACCAATAATACACATATATATGTATAAAATAAAAATGCTTAATAATGCCGTATGCTCTATAACCAACAACCGTACAAACCACACCTGACGTATCAAAAATATGGATATGAGTTCAAAATACATACATATGTATATGGATGCCAATAATCTAGCCCCATTTAATCCACAGACCATACAAGAATAAAAAAAAAACACTATATTGTTGGTTCAGTTGTGGGTTTGTTGTTGTCACTACTCCCATACCCAAGTTAAAGTGTTGTTGTTGGTTTTGTACGGTTGGTGGTGCAGCAAATAAGCATAAACGAAAAAGTTTACGTGGAAGTTTTCATGGTTTCACTAACCACCACCAACACCAATGAAGTATTACCTTTTTCTTGCTTGCACTACACAATTAATAACACTTGCAGCTGCTTAAGCTTTTATAGCATAATTAAAATTTTTTTTTTTTTGAATATTTATCGTAGCGGTTAATTGAAATATAAATTTACAGGTGATTTCCGTGAAAGTTATAAAATTTTCCAGGGAAAAATCTACACAGTACGAAAGAAAAATCACAATGAACGAATTGGTGACATTTGAGAAAGCGAAATGTCAAAATGCAGTTAATGTTGACAATTGGCGAAACTAATGATCAAAGGTAACACAAAATTGTCAGGGTTGCATGCATAGCAAATTGCACACCTTACGTCTCATATATTTATTTATTGTACTTGCTGAAAGCATTGATAATGAAAATTATGTAACTAAACACACATAAATAAACAAAATCATCTACTGCACGTAAGTTCAATAACCTGTCGTTGTTCATTTTCGTGGGCCCTCGTCTAGAATTTAACTATTTATGATTATTCACCACTAAACTTTTAGTACTTCACCATTTCTTTTCTTAAACAATAGCAACACTTTCACATATGACAAATGCGCAATCTACGTAAATGTAAATTTTCTCCCTTGAATACTCTCGGTTTTCAACTTACGTCTTTATGGTTCAATTAAGCAATTTCAATATATGTTTTTGTTTTTACACAAACAATTAAATGCATAATTTTAATTTAATAATGCACGCTAATTAAATCGTTTTCGTTTGTATTCGATATTACTTTCGTTTGGCCAGCGAATTTTTGAGACATTTACAATATTTTCACTAGGTTGAAAATTTCGTACAATAGAAAGGAAAAATCTCACTGCCAACTCAAAACGAATTGTACAACATCTGACGTTTCTCACCTGTTTATGGCTTTTCTGCAACAGGGTGACTAGGATAAAAAAAAAGCTTAACTAATATTAACTTTTTTCGAAAATTTGTATTGTTAAAATGAAATATAGTTTTTACACATTTTTGCAGTTTGTCAAAACATATTAGTTAAAATTTGTTTGTAAAAAAATAATTAAATAAATTATTTAAAAAAATTTGTTATGGCTTCGCAACCCTGCAATACAACAAAAATCCAATTGCCCTCTGATTTTGACATTTAGCTGACGTGTTCGGTCGCTTTAACTTATAAATTTCACCAATTTGCAGCAAAACGAATACATTACTTGTTTTGTTGTTTTTTGTTCATTTTTTAGACTGTAACTAAAAAACGAGCAGACTTATAAAGAAGAAAGCTGAACGTAAAAAGTTTCCAAAAGACACAAGAGGTTGTAATGAGTGCAGTGACTGCAAATTGCAGCAAGTAGTAAAACGAATTCCCAGGGATCTAAGAAGTAGTAAATGCTCTATCGAAGCACACAAAAAACACAAAGATGGCACTACTAACTATGATTGCGCGTGTAATTGATGGACTTCCATTGGTTGGTACCATGCAAGATGACGAGCAGGTATGTGTAACAATTGGCCAATAAATGCATGCTTCGGCAATGTCAAGGGTCAAGTTTTAATTGCATATATTTGTGTTTCACACACGCTAACACATATCTGTCATCATATCAACAGTCTGGGCGCAGTATACTGGAGTATCAGAATCAAGCGAAAATGCTATTCAGAAAATTAGGATCACATTCACCGGCGCGCTGTAGTATCGAAACAGGACCATACTTATTCCAGTAAGTTGTTTGCAAAGAAATAAGTGCAAAGTGCAACAATTTATATAGTATAGCTAACATTTTTTGCTTATGTGGAATGTTTTGTTTTTGCTTGGCTTCTTATCTGCGTTGTTAGAATTATTTCACATTTTCACGATAAATTTTCACTACATGTCTTTTGTTTTAGCTATCTAATAGAAAATGATGTTTGCTATCTAGTGATGTGTGATAAAATGTACTCCAAACGTTTGGCCTTCAACTATTTAGAGGATTTAGCGCAAGAGTTTCATGCCAACTATGGACGGCGTGTCAATTCCGTGACGCGGCCCTATGCATTTATCGAATTTGATGTTTACATACAGAAAGCCAAAAAACAATTGACCGATCGAAGACGAAATATAAATGCAATTAATACACAACTACAGGACGTGCAGCGAATAATGGTAAAAACTGTTAATAAGCATATTATGAGATAAAATTTAATTTTTTTATTTATATATAGGTACAAAATATTGACGATGTACTGCAGCGCGGCACAGTGTTGTCAGGTTGGTCATAAAAGAATCATTCTCATAGATTTATATTTGACAAGTTCCTTTCACTTTTTTTTTATAGAATTGGACACAAAAACGCAAAATCTGTCGATGATGTCTCAGAAATATAAAAAGGATGCGACATACTTAAATCGAAAATCAATGTATTTGAAATTGGGCGCCGCCGGTGTTGCTATAGTAGTATTTATTTTGTACTTTTGGGTTTTGTAATAATTGTTAAATGTTTATTAAAAAGTATGATGATATAAAAAATACTAACTAACTATTGGTATAGCGAAACATTGTATGCATGCGTCATCACAATATAAAAGTGCACGACATAGGGATATTTTTGTGACAACCGTATGACAAATATTTCATTATTTAATTTTTTTTCTAGGTAATGTAACGAACAATATTTATCAGAACTATAAAATTTTTCCTGTAACAAATATTTTGCATGAAACAATGTACACACTATTATTTCATAAACAAAGGTAAAATATATTTGTGCAAAATATTAATACGAGTCTATTACAATAAGAAATGATTTTAGCCTACTTGCGTATGTATATACATATTTATGTCAATTTGCACAAAACTTGTTTGGGCATAACTTGATACTTAGCTTTTGCTGTTCTCCTCTTCCGTTTCTTCACCTGAAGATGAAGACGATAACATTTCCCATAATTGCTCGTCAGTGAAAAGGAAATTGCTAGGTGCTTTCTCAAACTCCTCACGTTTGCGCAAGCGTGCTTCACGACGTTTCTCTGATAAAACATTGGACAGCTTTTTAGCATCTCGCGGCGCTTGCAACTCATCAGTGTCAGCATTATCGCCTTTTGTTGCACTCTCGACTAAACGTTGTTTGTGTAAGGCTTCTATGGTGGCTTCGTGACTTTTGGTCTCCGCCTCAACGTCTTCATCTATTAAATATACTATATAATGTGAAACATCTGTACCAATGATTTTATCAAAAAAATTACCGCTGTCAATAATATCACAGCCGGCCGGATTTTCCTCATAGCTGACGAAGATGCAGGGGAACTCTACTAATATTTTGCCCGCTAAATTGGCTTTCAATGTTTTACGCCCATCTAAAGCATAATAACGAGTACGTGAACACTTAATACCTTCCGCCTTTAGCAGCAACTATTTAATTAGCAGAAAACTTTTAATTAGCATATGTACGCTCTAATATTAGTTTATTTACCTTCAGTTTGCTCAGTCCTGCACTTTGATAGTATTCCAAAGCCTTCTTTTGTGGCACAACTTCTGCACTTTTTAAATTCACATATTTATCCAACAACTGTCCCAATCTCAAATCCTCATCGCAGCGCTCGTCTACATACTGCAAACCACCCGCATTGACGAACACCCATTCTATGCGCCAAAAGATTTTGCGTAAACTCCAATCAAAGAAGGTGGTATTATTTTTGTGGCGCGTAAAATTTGGCAGCAAAAATCGTAACACCGTTCGGCGTTCTGCAGCAGCGCCACGCAAACGAAACAAATGTGTTGGCAGTGTTTTATTGTAACGTGTGAAACGTTTGATTGTATCCTGCTTGCGATCACTAACATAACGTGTGCATTCTTCCAAAAAGTAATAATCGCTCATGAAATCCATCTTGGTCATTTTCCTCAGTGGTATGAATTTGGTGCGATCGCGTTTGCCATCACAGTCGAGCTCCTTTTTATGTATTTGCACACAACGCAAGCAGCAGGTTTTCACCTCACATTTGGGGCAGCAGTAGCGCGCATTAACAGCGGCGCAAACTTCGCATTTACCAAGGCGTGGAAAGTGGCGGCTTCGTATTAAATAAAAACATATTTCTCATTTCAAATACACTTGTTTACTTCTAGTCACTCAGCGTGACCAGCACATACTATATATATGTATGTAAGGTTTTGGCTTATCGAAAATCTGATTTCACTTTACCTGCTATTGAGTTCTTCATTATCACTATCACTGCTGCTACTCTCTTCTCCCTCGCTATCAGCATCTTCCTCTGATGTGCCAGAATTATCTATCTTAACTCGCTTCTCCTTATCAATATCAGTCTGTACGGACAATTCCGTAGTCGTCACTGTTTCTTGTATGCGCTTCATATTTTATAAAGCCGCATTGAAACTAAATTCAAATTTACATTCACTGCGGCTTCAGCACAGTTTTGACAGTACACAGTTTTTATTTTCTTCTCTTTGCTGTGCTTATCAATTTTTTTCAAACCATCAGCTGTTTATGTCAAGTTAATCAATTAAGTCGCGAAAAATCATTTGAAGTGTTTCAATACATCACAGTAATTCGTAAGTAAAATTTAAATTAATAATTCCCTTAAAAATGAAAATGCATCCAAACGAAGTGTTGCTGTGTAGTAGCTTTAAGGTGGTTTTGTTCGGGAGCTTTTTTGTGATCAAACTCAAGCGTAGTATTGTGCTTCAATATTTACGTAATAATTTTTACAAACATAAAACGTGAAATTATTAAATTTATTACACTTTCACTTAAAAACACGTATAAAAACACAATTCAGTGCACTATTTATTGTTTAAAATCAAAGAATTTGTTAACAAAATTTTCCAATAGAAATGTCAGTGCCGTTTGCAAACCACGTGTATTGTCAAATCTTGAAAACATGCTTTATTCTCTTTTCGTAAACAATTATTTTTTGTCGTTATCACAAAAGCAGTGTTTCACTATCGACCAATGAAGAACGTACGAGCAAAAAAAGTAACCCAGTAGGCAATTACATGCCTGCAAGAAATGCTATCGATAAGCCAAACATCAATTGAGCGATCGAGCATCGCGCTTGAACATTTGTTCAAAGGCTCTATTAAAGAATTATATGATTTCTTACATATACTCTATACTATATATATATGTATTCAGAATAAGCATAATTCATTTGTGTACATGTGTCCAAAGAGACCATTCACTCAATATTGTTTACATGTGCATATTTAAATGAAGATGGTCATATTATGCAGTTTGATAACCTTTGCTTTTACAATTAAAAATAATCTCATAATCGATAACTTTTACAATTCATTAATTTTCTTATCAACGGTTGTGAACACAATTCGAAAAAGCGAATTTTTGAAGTGGTGGTGAAGTAATCAAATGCTGCATAAAAACCTATACATATRTATGTATGCATAAACATACTTACATATGTTTACTTGTTATAGTTTAGCTATGAGATAATGAACTTTTACAATTACTGCTTATTTTCAAAATCTATTAGAAACAAATAAGTTACGCTACATCATCAAAGGACTTTTATAATTTAGTCATGATAAGAAAGGAAAAAAGCTTCACAATGTCTGCAATATTTATTTAAGAGTTTTATTTAGACACAGGTTTAAAAATCACACAGAAATTACCAGAGAAACAGATTTCCACATTAAATAATTCCGATACAGAGAAAAAAAATACATATAACGGATCTAGTGAAAAAATGTGTATTTAAACAAGTGTGCACTAAAATTTACTCCAAACAAGGGAAACCATCGAAGCCATTATACCCTTCACAAATAAATACATACATATGTTTTTCACACAAGAGCTTGATTGTGATCAAAGGTGTAGAGCTTTTACATTTTAGTGTGCGCTTTCATGTTCCCTAAGAACATTTAAACTTTAACCTACATACATACATATGTATGTATATAAATACTTATGTACATATAAATAAGTAAATTAAAATATTTGTAAATATTGTTATCGTTTACATGGAAATTGCAAAAACCACACACATAAACGTGCTCTGACGTATTCCGCCTCAAACTGACGCATGTTTTACATGTTCTTGCAGGTTTAATTTTGAACTGTTCTAATATGTAAATGATGCATGTACATAAGTGTATGAGGTAAATTACATCTGTTAATATTCTGTGAAACAATTTTATAATTGGCCAGCACGATTCCCTCTGATGCTACACAATTAATTTAATTAACTTATTCTCTTGAAGTCTGAATTTCTCATATCACATATAAAATTACACTCATGCGCTAACCGTTGTTTATAGAGAAAGCACACTTTCAAATGTGACGATAAATTATCCACTATTAAATAGCTTACGTTGGTTAATCGATCTGTACACGTAACATTATGTATGAACATAAAAACATAATATTGCCTTATTGCCAGCAATATTGTGATTGTGTAGCAATAAAATATTCAACAATATTTAAAAAATTTTAACTTTCTCATCATTTGAATGCGCCAACATTTATTTATTTAGAAGCTCAGAGCTTTGTAAAACTAAATTGCTGCCTTATCATTCTCAAGATTCGTGCGATAATTTTGAACAGAACCGCTTGCTCAAACTGAAGAACCTAAATAAATATTCCATATGTTTGCCTTTTCGCGCTCAATTGTGCAGTTAGGCTCTTCGGCACATATGCATGTATGTAGGTATATAAGTATGTTCAAAACAATACATTGCCTTTACCACTTGTATTTTGCTTATGTATTATTATTTCAAATTTCCAGTTTGTGCTCGCGCAAAATGGCTCGACGAGTGCTATTCAGTCGCTTGTCGGTTATTGAACATAGAGCTTATTTCTCGCATACATCACGTCCGTTTCTATTGCCGCGGCGTGCTCATATCAACATGTTAAGTACCGAAAAGCCAGCACCAGTTGCAGCAATGCCACAAGGATTAGCAACGCCATCATTGACATATAATTTTGCCACACAGAAACCACAAAAACAGCCGGAACGCAGTATTGAACAGCAATATGAGGTGAGTTTAAGTGCATGGAATGCATGCACGCATGCGTTTTTTCCACTTGCAGTGATGTACTACAACAAAGTAAGAGGTTACTGCAAGTGTGTTTTATGCATACAAGGCTTTTCTCTAAAGCTTAGTATCTTGCTAGTAACGTTAATGCATGTGCTGCCAACGCGTGCGAGATATTCTACACGTGTTTATGTTGTATAGCGCCGCATAATTTTTCAGCGAGTGCTTTGTTTACAGACTCATAAATATGTGCTGTTGTTGTTAAGGTTATTTATTTTTCGCACCTGGTATTAGGAATGTGTTAGTGATTTGAATACGCTGCAATCGAATGCGACAACGATACGCCGTTCCATTTTACTGAATAATAAACAATTGCCATTAAGTGATATGCACAAGTATATGGAGCGAAGTGGAATGACTTTGGAAGAATTGGAGAAGATACCTTTCATACACGTGTCTGGCACAAAGGGGAAGGTAAGTGGTAGCGATAAGTAGAAATAGTTACAAATATACATATGTATATATAACTGTTATGAAATAGCTGCCAACAGCAGAACACTCTAATTTTTAGCAACGCAAATTTGTAAATATTATCGCAAGGCTAACAGGCATATCTAAAC